AACACCCCCCCCAGCCACATCCAGCCGGTAGGTGTCAAGTGGAGCCAGGTCCCCAGTGAGGATAGGTGCCACGTAGGAGGTTCCATGGCCGCTTCCCACCACCAGTCCAGTGGTGCGCCCGTAAGCATAGAGCGTCAGAAGAGCCTGGTGAACTGTTTGCATAGCTGGCACACGGAAGCGCTCAAAGAGTATTTCAGCCACCTTTTCTCTGTTGGTACGCGGTGAGATGGGGGAGTCAGCCACAAGCACAGCCATCTCCTCAGGCTGCACGCGAAGCTTGCAGTAGAACAGGTGTTGCCACAGCACCTCTAGAGCATCCCAGTCAGAGACCACTCCTCGGTTCAACACAGAGTAGGAGCCCTCTTGGTGGTCAGGTACTACATACTGGGGCTGGCCCTGGGCTGGATGCTGCAGCATCTGAACTTGCGAGGGTACCACACTGAGGACATGGTCCTCTCCAGCCAGTCCACATTTGGTAAATCCTGTGCCTGTATCAATCACTATGGCTGCCATGTTCTGGTAGGGACTGGATGAGTGGTGGCAAAGCACCGGTGATTGCACTGGTAGAGCAATATTGGACACTAGCCCATAGCAATTCCCACGGAGAAGACCCAGGTGTGCAATCACTGATGAACGTGTAATGTCATCAGCTGCCAACTTGAACTGATGTCCATTCTGGGACTCAGGGCCCACCATGGATATGGGCAAGTCCTTACAACCAGTAAATGTGATCAAAGAAAGTTGTTCCTGGCGGGCCCTTTGGGAATCACTGGGTTTCCAGGATGGGAGCGGATGCGTGCTGGATCTTTGGGCACTATTGTTTACAGCTTTATCTCTGTTCACATAAATGCAGGCCTCCTCAGATGCCAGGGGTAATCGGAGAATTCCTACATGTGTAGGATTGCCCAAGGGTTCACTCTTTTGGGTACAGGGCTGGACAGGCTCCCCGGAGGTTAAGGTGGGCTCTCTGGTGGTGGAGGACTTCGCTGTGAGGGGTACCTGTCTATTGAAGGAAAATTGTCTGGAAAGAGGAGTCTGCTCACTGAGATGAGGTAGACTAGTAAGGGGGAGCTGTTTGGTAGAGGGGAGCTGACCAGATAGGGAGCCCTGCTCAATTATAGATAGCTGTCTAACAAGGAGGTTCTGCCCATTAAGGAAATTCTGACCAGTGAGGAAGGCCTGTCTGGTGTTTTCAGCCTGAGGGCCACTAGGCTGAGCAGAACTGACCTCTTTCTGGTTATTGCTGCCAACTTCCTCCTGGAGTGGCAATCTGGGCACTCTCTGGTTATCGTCTGTTGACACAGAATCTGGCTTTATCCACTGCAATTTCCTAGTCTGGACCATGGAACTATCTTGCATCTTGGGAGAGTCCAGCATCCAGATGGTGTGGGCAGGATTAACCTTTTCAGCCTCAGATTTGGACCAGTTAGCATCAGGAACTTGGGCTGGTACCTTTTCACCATACTGGAAGGGTGTCCCCGGTCCGACAGGTCTAGCAAACATCCCAACCCTGAGAGGGCTGTCAGTGCCGGGGAAATTCTGTGACTCTAGGTTGTGTTTGGCCTCCTTGGAAGCCAGGGGTACCTCTCGGTAGCTTCCAGAGGAGAGGCTGGAGGGCACAGGGCTAGACAGCATGGCTGTGGTAGACCACATGCTGGAGTGATCACTGTTAGGGGAGAGGATTGACCTGGGCAACGACCGAGGAGACCGCATATTTTCAGAGATGGGAGTCATTGGGTGGTTGGGTGTGAGACCTACAAGCACTGCCCGTGAGCCCATGGGATCGTGGCATAGCAGCCCCATCCTGGTGTTGCCTGTGGCCATATCAAACACCAGCACGTGGTCTTCCACGGCATCCTGGAGCTGGCAGGTCGGAGCACTAGAAATGGGAATCTGCATGGTCTCTCTGGGAGTCTGGGCTGGAAACTGCGTGTTGTAGGCTCCTTGGCAGGCAGGCAGTGTCACATTGGAGCAGTTGTTGTTGCAGGCACTGGGGGGCTGCTTGTCTAGCTGGCAGCTGCAAATCTTGTGGCTACTTATCTGTGTCTTGAGAGCATCTAGAGGCTCTGCGGCTGGTGTTGAGGCATCTAACCTGCAGGCATGGACCAGAGGTGTGTTTCCAGGGTCCTCAGATTGCTTGGGTGCCACCTGCATCTTGGCAATCTCTTGCATCTGGGTGGAGGCTAGAAACTCTACTGGAGTAGATGCTGGAGTGCCAGGAGTCTCCTTGAGGGGAAAATACACTTTGTCCTTTTTGGAAGAATCTAAGAGAATGGACAATTGGTTGTCACCATTCTTGAGATCAACAGTCAGGTCTTCAGTGGCTACAGTGGTTTTAGTTGAATGGTCGGGACCTGAGGTGAAAGGTTCAACTGCAGCAGGTGTTGGTGGTGCTTTGACAGCTGGAGTAGAAGCCTGAATTGAGGTTGGAAGAGGTAATAAAGGTGAAGAAATAGTCTTATTTAGGGTAGGAGCCTGAGCTGGACCCAGACCTGGACCCCTGTCCTGGCCCTGTTCTTGGGCTGGAGTCTGAGCTAGAGTCTGAAGAGGATTTTGACCTTCAACTATGCCACTCTCTCCTGAGAGGAGGTAGGGTAGCCATCGACTCTTCCTGGGACCCACAGGGGCCAGGTGGTCAATGTTACAGGTTCCTTTGCCCCAGCCGACTAGGACTTTAGCTGGAGTCTTGCTCTCCCTCCCAATCTGTAACTGAATCTGGGAGAGGCTGAATCCATTCTGGGCTTTGTCATTGGTGCTGTCGTTGTGTGTGCACAGTGGTAGAGTCTGGGTCCCATCATCCATGAGGAGACGCTCTTGGGTTCCCACAGAGGGGTTTGAAAGTAGATTAGAAGAGGAGAATCTCGGGGTGTCCTGGGAGGCCTGTGCATAATTACACTGGGAGCTGACCTGAGCAGAATCCTGGAGTAGTTGATGACTAGGCTGAGAAGGGAGAGCCTGGGAAGTTGAGCTGCAGGCCATGTCAGCGATGGCCCCCGTGGACAATGACAACCCCTGCTTTGAGTATAGGGATCTTGAGCTCATCCATGGTCCCTGGGACCCTCTGAAGCCGAACCTTAGCTGCTGACTGCCAGGCAGGGGATGGCCCTGGGGGCCCGATGGATCAGGGCCCCCCACCTTCTTGGTGGCTTCCATAGTCCTGCTCCATGCCCTAGGTGCCCTGCCCCCACTTCATTGCCATGGTGACCCCACACAATCACTGCCCCCAGTGACCTGGAGAGTGACAAAGTATGGCATAACAGGGGCCCCACCCACTGAAGGGGGTGCTTCTCTGAAGACTTTAGGAGGTGGAGAAGCTTAGGGGTCTCAATAATATTAGACTGCTTTAAGTCAGCTTTGTTCCTTCTTTACCAATCAGTGACCACTGTACCCAGGCCAACCCCTGAGTGAGGGCAGTGTCCCAGAGAGGGCCAAGGTAAGGTCAAGGGAGAAGAGGAGTCAGGGGAGACTGAGGGCTTCCTTGACACTGGCCCCTTTACAAGAGCAAAGCCTGTTCACTACTTTGTCTAAGAGACAGAAGAGGGTGAGGGGCGCAGACTCAGCCCCAGGCTCCCCTCCCCTGTGTTCCCTGCTTCCACTTCCGCTCCCGCTCCAGGGACAGCAGCTCCTTGGCAGTCTCTGCTGCTCCAGATGGTTTTCCTCTGCTTATGCCTCATAGAGAGCCCCCTCCCCAGAGCCACATGTCCCTGAAGCCCAGGACCAGTGTCTTGCAGGAGTGGGTATGGGGGTGGTGGAGGCGGGGCCTCTGCTCAGAATCTTCAAGTCAGAATGTTCCAGTTCTTGTCACATTGTGTCAGTTTCATCCTGGCCATAATGAGAGCATCGCACTAGGCACAGGGCTAGGCTGCAGTAGCCACAATGTTAACTAAGTGCCACTTACAAGATAGGGAATGATAGGGATATAGTAGGAATAGGGCCAGCCTCTCAATCGGGGCATGGCAGGCGTGAGACTGGGCACACAGTGGGTGTGCTCAGAACAGGGTTGTATATACAGTAAGGACAAGCTAGACAGAGCCCTGGATATGGGTAGACATGTAGAAAATCAGTATTTCTCCCTCTTTTCTTTGATGGGGAAACAGAGGTAGGAAGGAATCGAATCTACCTGGACTAGGCCCTCGGATCCAGGGCTACTCTGAGGTTCCTGCCACACTGCTCTACAGCTAGAGGACAGGTCATTTGAATAGACCTACTTTTGGAAGTTCTGCCTTGGGCAGTCAAATCTCCTTCCGCTGCCTCTGAACTCTAGCCTGGCCCCTCTGTCCTCCAGGGTTGTGTTCCCTTCAGGGCTCAGTCTTTCTACCCAAGAAACAGGTTTGTGAAGGATGCAGCTGTAGGCCTGTCCTCCTCCGAAGCAACATGTTTTCACAGAGGTTAAAAATAGTGTTTACAGTTGGCCGTGGGGTGCGAGGCTGTGTGACCAGGGACTAAGGCTGGCACTGTGCTGCATTGGCACCTTTTTTGATTGGCTGCTGGGCAAAGCCTGACTCAGCCGCATTTCAGGCCCCTTGTGCCACCCTCCTTCTTCAGTTAAGATAGGGAACAGGCAGCTTGGATTCCTAGGAGCCAAATTGCTTATCACTACGCTGTGCCTGGGAAGGTGGAAGAGCCCACGGGTCTGCAGGCTCTCTCACGCACACATCCTTGCAGAATACTGTTCATTAATCCTGAGCAAGCTACCTGATTTTCCAGGACAAAGATGTTGGTAGCAGCCTCTAATTTCTATGTGACATAAAAGTTGAGCTGTACCTAGGAAGCATGAGGAGGTAAGGAGGGGTAGTCTAAGAGCCACCCTCACCCCTGCTGCCCACTTGCTTGACAACTGAGCCCATTTGCTACAGCATTCAGAAGTGAGGTATAACCCCTTTGCCAGGACCAGGATCTTTGTGAACAATTGCCCTGAGGTCTCTCAGAGGAAGAGAGAACAGAGCCAGCTGAAGGGTCTGGCCCAAGAAAGAAAGCCCTTCACCCTTGGGAAGCAAACATACCTTAGAGCTAGAACAACAGTGACTAGGATTGATCCCATTCTTTCTCTGTGCCTGCACAACATGGGATACAGCCTGACAGCCATTCAACGTGCTGGCCACTCCAGTGTCTTTATTACAGATGCCCAGGAGACAAAGTGTAGAGTTGAGTCGGGCCTGGAAGCTAGTATCCCTGACTCTTGTAGGAATACATGGTACTGCCACTGGGTGCATCTCCGAGGCCATGCAGTAATGAGCCCAGCTGGAAGAGAGCTGTCGGGCCTCCCTTTGTGGGAGTTGTAGGCCCAAGCCCCACATTTAAAGCTGTGTCTCTCTTGTTGGACCTGCTCCCCTCCTGGTAACTTAGCAAGTAACTCAAGGCCTGGGAAAGGTTATGTTCTCTGTGGGGTGGGGGGAAGCAGTAAGCCAGTACCCTCCTAGGAACTTGATGGTACTGAATATGGCCCAGCTGCACGCTCTGTGTCGCCAGACTAAGCCCTCTGCCATCAGAACTCTTGACTGGCTGAAGCCCCTTCCTGTCTCATCCACCTGAGGCAGAAGGGTGAAGAAGCTTCCAGTCTAGGCCCCTTTTGCTTGGCTCCTAGATATAGTGCCCCTGTGAGCACCCCCCCCCTTGTTTTTTAAATAGTCTCTCTCCAGGAAGAAGGGCGTCCAATTCTATTTCTGATTCTGGGAAGTGAGGAGGGCCAATGTGTTGCCATGGTAACCTGAAATCCCCTCCCCCAGGCTAAGCCCATTCCCCAGGCTGAGGGCCTGGGAGGTGGGGTGGAAGGGGTGGCAAGGAGAAGCTGAGGAATTCACTTTAAGGGTGAAGTCAGTGTCTCCCGTGTGAAGGCAAATGCCCAGTTTGGCCTTCCCTCTTATACTTCACCTCAACTCCCCAACAGGCACTGTGGAAGACCCCCAGCCTTGGGGAGAAGAACTAGTCACCCTTGGAAGAAATTTTCTCCCCTTTTGGTCAGGCTGAAGCCCTGTCACCTAATAGGCCCTGGGGAATGTGGAAGTGACAGGAAGGACATGGAGGGAGGAAGGGAGGCTATGTTCTACCAGGAGTTCTGTGACCCCTAGGTCAGCCTGGCCTGCTTGTCCTATATTGGGCTCCCTTGATTTCTTAGGGGGCAGCTAGCTCTGAAATCCCTGCTTCTGCACTCTGTCAGCTCACTTGCCTTCAACACTCTGGGCCCCAGGAATGCCCTAGACACCTCAGAAAACTTAAGATCAGAAAGCTCCTTCAACGGCCTCCCAGTGTAGTCATACACTTAACAGTGGATCAGAAAGCGGGGTTTATTTCCCTGGGGCTTTGTCTCTGGGCCTTGTACATCAGCTTAAGTGCTCCCAAGGCTGCAGATCTGTGGTATTAGATCTGCGTGGGGATGTGAGCAGAGCCCAGATGAAGGAAAGCTTCTGAAAAGGCCCTGAGGGTTCTTCTTGCGACCCAACCCTGTCTGGATGCTGATGGGACATTGCGAGGGGCCTCACTTTCCTAGTTCTGTGCCCCCCCTCCACTCCTCTCCGGAACAATTCAAGAGACCCCAGAGCCTTAGACCATTGCAGTTCCTCCTGGCCAAGGTTCATCCACTCCATGGAGACAAGGCCAGTCTGTAAGGAGTTGGCTTCTCCTGCTCCCTGTCCCACCTGAACAGCCGCAGAGGAAGACAGCCAGAGACAAGAACCCCAGCCCCAGGGAACTTGAGAGGGTTAGGCAAGATAATCCACTCCTAATCTGGGATGTGGAAGGCAGGAGCCAGCAGTGCTGGGAGGGTTTGGCTTCTGAGCTCTAGGCACAGAGAAATTTAAATAACAGATGTTTAAACAACCTTCCCTGCAAGCCGCTGGTGCAGTGACCCCTCTGCTGTGATGTGTTGCAGCTTAAAAATAGCCCACAATGAACCGCTCTGAGCCCCAATTGACTCAAGCTTACGTAACTCTGCGTGAAAGATAGCCAGCCACATCAGCCAGAGGGAGGGCAATGGCACAGCCACCCTGACTGCTGCTCACAGCTGGCTGCTCCTTGCCTCTGCTGGGGGCAGACCCCCATCCAGGAGCCAGCATGAGGAAGGAAGGGTGCAGGGGGCTGTCGGAAGCACACGTGACCTCATGGCTACAGCACAGAGACCTCCAGCCAAGCCTGCAGAGGGGGTGTGAGGAGAGCCAGGGACTCAATAAGACCCAGACCCTTTGGAGAGAAAATGAGATAAGGAAACCAGAACATCAAGATGACGGGGTGACTGGACCTGCCCAGGGTTCACACTTCCCGCTTTGAGAAGGGGGCTTCCTGACTTGGCAGAACAGGTCGGCACAGCTTACTAATGTGTGGCTGGCACTAGCACTGCCATTGAGCCCAGGGATGGAGGCAACTCCTTTGAGGCCGCTAATTCTCCAAGGTGTAGCAACATTCCTAGAGGGACTCATAGCACGGGGAGAGGGTGTGGGGGCTTCAAATCTAATTGAACCCTGCAGTATTTGCTATCAGCTACTTCCCTATTGGATCCTAGATCCCCAACTGGCCACAAGCATGTACAAATGGCCAAGCCAACTGAAAGGAAGCAGAGGAGAGAGATGGGGGTCTCTTTGACACCGAGAGCACTGGTGCTCATCGGTCCCTCTGCTGGTGCCCATGCTGAACCCCTCTAGTGAGTCAGTAACTTCCTTCAGTTCCCAACAACTGAACTCAAAATAGGAATCATCACAGGGCAGATCCCCTGAGGTCCAATGGAGCAAGGGCGAGAGAAAGCATATTGGGTATCTCAGGCCAGACTCCCCATCAAAGCAGGTCAGTCTACTCATTGCATGCCTTGCAGGTGCCAGACTACAGTGACACCAATGGGCGGTCAGGAGGCTATGACTCATCAGCTGCTTTCTCGGTCCCAGCGCCCACCGTGGCTTCCTCTCGTCTTTATTGGCATTTGCTTGCCCCTCAGCCCTACTGGGTTGTCCCGGAAGGAGAGCAGGCATGTTTGTCGGTTTGGAACAGTGTCTTATGTAGTCCAAGCTGCTCTTGGGCTTATTATGTAACCAAGGCTACCCTTGAACTCTTGATCCCCTTACCTCCACCTCCTAAGTGCTAGGATTGCAGGTGAGCACCATTATGCCCGACTGAAAAGGTTAATGACTTGCGTTCACAACTCTTGGTGGGAAGGCTGGACTCCAGAG